TCTCGCATAACTTTTTTATTTTCGACTATGGATGTCGGTAGAAAACATTTGAAACATAGACACACACACCCTCTATATGTGAAATATCAATAGAAACCCCAAAATCTACTTTCGAGAAATATTTTACCTGTTGAATTATCCCCAACAGTCACTTATGCATAACTCTGTTATGTGTTTTGGGGTATAGATGGCGGCAGTAAAAATTTTTTTCCCCTAACTTTTAATGCCAGAGACAGACGTCCTTTAAATGTAAAATATATCTTGGAATAACAAATGCTACTTTTGGAGAAAGTTGTATTTACATTGATAAACTATTGTTTAATTGTACTTTGTCAGAATTTTCCCCTCTATATTATTATGTTACTCACACAAAACGCTGTTACTTTGGGGTACAGATGGCGGTTTAAAACATTTTAAATACTTAACTTGTAAACCCCCATTACTTTTGAGTATAGATGCCGGTACTGAACATCTACCATACTTAACTTTGAGAGTTAGAGGCCGGTATATTCAAAATGTGAAATATTTACAATGAACTCCATTTCTACTTTTCCGAAAAATCTGAATTACATTATTATTTAATAAAACGCAACTCTTTTTTCACATATATAATTCTTTATCTTCTGCAACAATTACTCAAGCAAAACTCTGTTACTATTGAGCACAGATGGCGGTGGTAAATATTTACAATAACTATTTTACAACTTAAAAACCGACATTCCTTTCTACTTTTCCGAAAAATCTGAATTATATTTTGTACAAATTATTTAATAGAACTTCTCTCTTGTTTTTCCACTATATAATATTTTAAACTTCTGCAACAGTTACTCAAGCAAAACTCTACTACTTTTAAGTACAGATGGCAGTAGTAAATAATTTCAATATTCAATATATTTATATTCAAAATTGAAAATGTGACATATTTATGGGAGTATTTTCCTATTTTTCGAAAGATCTGAAAAAACTATTTTTTTCAAATTATTTTATGGATCTCTGCTCTTATTTTCAACTACATAACCCTTCTGCAAGAGTTAATCTAACAAACCTCCGTTACTTTGAGTACAGATTTCAACATTTAACTTTGAAAGTTAAAATGAGAGTCTATACTAAACCCCATTTTATGTTTTTTCCGAAAAATGTGAAAAAAATATTTTCTACAAATTATTTAAAATATCTCCACTCTTATGATCACCAATATAATTTATTCCACACCTATACAAGTCACTCACACAAAACTCTGAATATAGATGGCGGTAGTAGACATTTGTCATACTTAACTTGAAAGACATATCAAAATGTTAAATATTTTTAAGGAAATCCATTTTATACTTATGAAACTATCGAATTGAAGTCAGCCCTTATTTCACCTATTTATTTTTTGTCAATTTTGGAAAAACAAGTAACTCTGTAACTTTTGAGTATAGATGGCGATAGTAAAAATTTTTCTTAGAGACAGACATGTTAAAAAATGGAATAGTTATAGGGAAACCCATTTCTAGTTTTTTTAATATAAAATAATATTAAAAAAAAATATATATTTAATTAAACTTTATAATAATTTTGACCTATATAACCTTGTCCATTTTTCAAAATGATATTCCCCCTTCATTTAATGTTCCAATTATAAATATAAGCTTATATTGACCTCTCCCCCAGAAACATACTTTAAATATGGCAAATTTCCTCATGTACTCCTTAATGTATGCATCGCAACATTATAGCATTTTTATGGTTTCTTAATTGCATTTTGGAAACATTTTGGTAAAAAAAAACCATAAAGAAAAACATTCTCTTCTCCAAATAATATACAACTTAAAATATATCTTATAACAACCACCGAACAAAAAATTAAATACATTTAAACGCAAATATATATGTATACGCTACCATTTGCATATATATGTATTTTTATGTACATGTCATTTTCTTATCTAGTTTATTTTATCTGGTTGGAAAGAGCGAAAGCGAAAAAAAACTGACTGTCAGGAAAATGGAGAACATTGATTACTTTTAACTGCATCCATATCTGTTGGCTGTTTGGTTGGTGGTTCGTTTGGTGCGATTTTTTGTTTTTGCTTCTAAGAATGTTTGGCTCGCGCTTTATAGATTGTTGTTGGCCTGACAGCGACCGATACCGCCTTTCGCCCTATGCCCCCCGCACACGCCTTTCCATGTATTCATTTGGAACTAAATTTTTATTTTAATGTTTTACCACGCTATATATTCATACTGTACGAGTTGATGACTTTTCTTTCTTTAACGGAGGGGGCTCACCCACCCCCTACCTTCATCATGCCGTCCATGGCTAAAACGTAGACATTGGCATGACACCCCAAACCATTGTTACCATCAACCTCTTGCCGAGGAGCATTAAGGCATAATGTTAATGGTATTTAGGTTCGCGTGACTTTTAGCAGCGAAAAGCAAGCGAGCAAGCAAAAAAACGAACACGACAACACAAAGTTGATTTTATAAAAAAACAAGGTGGAAAAGAAGAGGAAAGGAGGGGGAAGGCACAAAAAAAACCTCCAACGTCATTGAGAAAAATACGTTCAATACGAATTCATGAAATACCAACGATATCGATTTTTGAAAGTGTTCGTCGCTTCGCTGGCGCTTGATTGTCTTTTATAAAATTTAATGGCATACTTTTAGGAGTTCACTAGTTCGACTATTCACTTCGTTAGTAAGAAAAGAAGGAAAAGGAGGTGGAGGAGAAATGCTCGCGCGCAAAAAAAATATGAAATCATTAAATGCAATGAGGCTAGAATGACATTTATGAATATATGAAATGAAAATGTTTGAGTTTTCATGCGATTCGTTAAGAGAGTGAAGTGAAAAGCAAGAGCAAAAAACTACTTGCCATTTCATGTCAATGTTTTTTCTTTATTTTGCAATGACGATGTATTCGACTTGACTTGAAATTGATTTTATGTTCGGGCAATATGAGCTATAAAATGGTGATTGACATAGTGGCTTAATGGTTAAATTGTTTGGGATTTTTTTATCGCACTAACTTTCCAAGACAGGCAAGGATTTGGGGGGTGTATTTTTCCCATACGATTTTCAGAAATCGTAAGATAATAAATTAAGAAAAATAATTACAAGAATTATTTAATTCCATATTTGTAGTAATATTCATTCATTCATACATTTTGTGGGATTTTAAGTTACCCCCTAAAGTAGGCAATTATTTTTCCGGCATATTCGTTATCAACTTATGATCACTTTTTATAGTTTGGTGGGTATATTAAGTTTGACAATCCGCTTCAAACACCTCGAAATATACATTTTAAATCCCACAAAGTGTACATACATTCTCCTCAAAGTAGGCAATGTTTTCTTAAAAGTTTATTATCATTAGTTTGGAAAAAAAATCTTTAAAAAATGATACATACGTAATTTCAGTACAACTTTATCTTAAATGCCAATATGTTTAGGTCAAATTTCAACAAACTCCCCCCCTAAAGTAGGATACGTTTTACTCCAAATTTATTTTTAATTGATTTGAAAATCATTTTAATATAAGGAAATAACACACCAGTAATTTAAGATTTATTGGAACCTGAAAATACGTTCTTTGGATAAATACATAATTTGGATAATTTAGCAATAACTCCCCAAAGTATGCAATAAATGTTAAGAAAAATATTCTGTAAGGGGAGAAAAATTTATGTATCGTATATTTTCCTCATGTTTCGAACTATGCTTGAACTGTCAGTATGCGTTAGTGAAATTTCAATATTTCAAACCCCATAAGTAGGCAATGTCTTCATAAAGAATTATCATCCAATATTTTAAGACTAATTTTACTTCATTATTATTCTTGGTATTTGAATAATAATCGTAAGCAGTTATTTTCTGCTATTTTCCCTCAAAGTAGGCAACTATTTGTAATACACGAACAAGAACTCCCCAACGTAGACAATATTTTTTTAAGGCAAAGTGGGCCACAGTACATGTATCGTATATTTTCCTGATTTTTTCGAATAATGCCTGGACAGCCAATATTTCAATATTCAAAACCCTATAAGTAGGCAATGTTTTCATAACAAATTATTGCCCAATACTTTTAAAACTTATTTCAATTCATTATTATTCTATTGGTCTTTGAATAATATTCTTATTGTTAATTGTTAAAGGTAGACCCTCAAAGTGGGCAACTATTGGTAATACACAAGCAAGAACTCCCCAAAGTATGCCAAAAATTTTTAAGGCAAAGTGGAGCACAATTCATGTATCGTATATTTTCCTATTTTTTCGATTAATGCCTGGACAGTCAATATTTCAACATTCCAAACCCCATAAGTAGGCAATGTTTTTATAAAGAGTTATCGTTTAATATTTTCAAAACTAATTTTACTTCATTAAAAGCAATTCTTTTTTGCGATTTTCAAAAGCAGACCCGCAAAGAAGGCAACCATTTCAAATATTTGAATATATTATAATTGTTCCTAATTTCTAAAACTACATTTTTGACTCTAAATATGCTAAGGCCATATTTTTATTATCCTTAAAGTATGCAATATGTTTTCTTGTCTGTCCAAACCTATGCCTAAGGTCGATTTTAAATATTCCTCTCCATAAAGTAGGCAATGCTTTCTTAAGCATATATTGTCCATTAATTGTAAGAGAGTTTTAATCAAATAAATTAACACAGCAGAAAAAAAGTAAAAGAGAAAAAATTCTTAAACAATCCGTTGCAGAACTTTCAGAGCTAACCCCCAAAATTAGGCAACACTTTTCACATATGATTTTTAAAAGGTCTCGTAAAAATCCTATTTACGATTCTGTATTCATAGCTCCTAAAGTTCCACTTTGAATTGTATTCCTTTTACCCTACCTCCAGCCTTAGAGTATGTGTTTTTAGGCTTACCTTTTTTGCCTGTTTAAATTATAAGAGATATATTTTTTTGTTTCAGTTTTAGTTCAGTCTTTTATTTAGATTTTTGGGGTAGTGCAATTTAGTTTAAGTAGTATTATTATGGATAATTTATATTTGGGTTTTAATTCACAAAGTTTTATTTTAATAGATGTTAAGTTTTAAATTAAATAGTTTTAATTCATTAGTTTATAAGTTTTAGCACATAAGTTATATAGTTTCACAATTTATTTTTCACTTTTTAATATTAACAATGTTCTTGGTTTTTTTGTAGTGTTGATTAAATGTTCACTGTTTTTTTTGTAAAATTACAAGATTATTAGGTTTTGTTCACTAACACTTGTCACACGGGGGGGAACTTGTTTTCGCGACGGTAATTACATGAGAACTGATTATTGCCAAATTTGCATCGTCACATCAAACCTGTTTTGGCTGTTGACGATGCTTAGTTATTAGAATTCAGCATTGGAATTTACCGGTGGCTGCATAAATGTATGTGTGTATATGTATGTATTTACATTATTTACATCATTTTGTTATGATGCCATTTATGCGGCCGCCGGTAAATGCCCAACCAACAGTGTTGGGCAAATTAATAGCAATATTATGAACATTTTCTGGGCCCCGAATGACAAGTGTAAGTATTCATTTCTAATATACCATAAGGATCTTCGGTCTTCAGTTCCTCGGCATGTTCTTGATTGGCCCAGCAAACACGTAGCCCAGTTGAGTGTTGTAGGCCAGGACATCTCCAATACCAGCTGCTGTACACCCATCTTTCCTTATGGCGGAGTACGTGTCCGCTCCCAGTTCCACATCGATTGGACTATTTCCTCGGGGATCAGGGTCAGCAAGGGCGTAATTTGTAAAGCATCTCGTGGGGTCTTCTAGTATTGGGTCTGAGTAAATGCGTCTGGGGAGATCGTCGATAATTACTGCATTTACCTTCAGACTCCAAGTACTGTTTGTGCGGCGGGGCGAAACGGTGAAGGTGGTGAATCGCTCCCCTTTGTACTCTCGCGACTGCAGACCCAGGCGACGGAACGCGGCATATGAAATCTTGGACATCGTCGCAGATTGGCTAATAATGGCTCGCAGCATACTAAAACCCTCCATGCCCTCGGCCGTTATGCGTACCATCGCTGTTGGTACAAACACCAAATCCCATGCGAAGGCTGGGGTTGTAATGGCCTCGATGTTGAGGGATACCTCGTCCAACTGAGACGCCCCGTGCAGTAAGGTATGGTGCCGGTCGTTGCATCTCCGGCAACCAGTTAAAGACGGGCAGTCGGGGGCCAAATGACTTCTCGCCAGGCAATTGCGGCAATATCCCCGACGCTCCACGGTCTCATACCGCTGGAAGGGCGTCTGTCTGCGGAATCGTTCACAGGCACTGAGGGCATGGTCATCTTGGCATAGCCCACATGAATACTGCCAGTAACTTGGTCTTTCTTGACGTTGGCGGGGTCTTGCGTCGGATCGGCTTCGTTGACGTCTTTCAGGGGATGTGGAACTGGGACGATGGATTGGCCGTATGGGTCGATTGGCGCTTCTTGCTGTTGGACGGGCAGGTGAGTCTGGGCTACGGTTGCGATCGTCCAGACGGCAGTCCTGGTTGGGCAAGTAAGCGGCCATATCTGAAAATAAATTAAGGCGAGTACTAAATTCTTTTTTGAGTGGGAATCCGACTAGTCAGTCGGAAAACAATTTGACAATTTTTGTAATGGGTCTGCTAATGTTGCCACTTGCCGTCCGTATGTCTACAACCCTGGTATTTTGGTCACTACCTGGATGCGTTTTTTCGATACGACCTAACTTCCATTCATGCGGAGCCAATCTATCATCTTTTACGACAACTAAATCTCCTTCTTTGATATTCTCTTTTTTATATTTCCATTTAGTTCTTCTGTGAAGTTCGTGAAGATATTCTAACTTCCATCTGTTACAAAAATATTGCGAAATAACTTTGAGCCTTTTCCAACGATTGACTAAGCTTAAATCTGTGTCTGAAATGTCTGGTTCAGCTGGGGTAAGAATAGGTGTTCCTATTAAGAAATGACCAGGTGTCAAAGGGGAAAGGTCGTTTGGGTCGTCGCTAGCAGGACTTAAGGGTCGTGAGTTAAGACAGCCTTCAATTCTTGATAAAATAGTTGTGAATTCTTCAAAAGTGAAATTCATTTTTGGGATACTTTTTCGTAAATGGATTTTAAATGATTTGACGCCAGCTTCCCACAAGCCGCCCATGTGCGGAGCACCAGGAGGAATAAATTTCCAAGTAAGATTTTGAGTGAAATTATTTTGAATTGTGCTATTTTGAATATTCTTCATGAAAGCTAATCTATCTCGCTTTAATAGATCAACCGCTCCCACAAAGTTAGTTCCGTTGTCCGAAAATATACAAGACGGGCAACCTCGCCGACTAATAAACCTAGAAAAAGCGGCAAGAAAGGCATATGTCGACAAATCGCTTGTGGGTTCTAAATGTATAGCCTTAGTGGCGAAACAAACAAACAGGCACACGTAGCCTTTTTTAATAAAGCAGGCTCTTCCTGAATAACTTTTAGTGTTAAAGGGTCCTGCAAAATCTACCCCTGTGTTTGTAAAGGGTCGAGAAAGAAAAGTGCGTTCGGGTGGTAGCGAAGCCATTATTTGAGTTTGGGTTTGTTTTTTGTGAATTAAGCAGATTCGACATTTTCGTATGGTTTGTTTGATAAGCGACTTGAGTCCAAATATCCAGAATTCGGACCTTAATACTCGGGTCATTAATTGATTACCCCCGTGTAAAGTAATCTTATGAGTGAATTCGACTAATAATTTGCTAAGTTTTGCGCCATGTGGTAATATTATTGGGTGACGTTCGCTATAGGTAAGGGCTGGCGATTGTACCAATCGGCCATTTGCTCTAATAATACCCTTTGAGTCTAGAAACGGGTTGAGTGTCAAGAGAGGACTTGAAGGAGAAATTTGAGTCTTTTTCATAAGTGAGTTGTATTCGTCTGCATATACGAATTTCTGGGTACGAATTATGCAATATCGTTTTCCATCTTGGATTTCATCTGAAGTAAGGTCTTTTGATGAGGTTCGAAGGTGTTGCCTATTTGCTCCAGTATTTTTCCAGAGTCTTAGGGCATATGCGTATGATCGATAAACTTTAGATAAAGAGGAGAAATTTTTTAAAGGGTCATCTCCTTCAGCGAAAAGAGTCATAACTTTTGCCGTTTTGGCTTCCAAATTTGTGTCATTTGGGATTTCATATGATGGCCAACGGTCTTTTTGCATTCTGAGCCATTGAGGTCCCTGCCACCAGAGATCACTAGTCTTTAGCTCTGCAGGCGAACATCCACGGCTCGCAATATCAGCTGGATTATTTTCCGAATCAACATGTCTCCAATTTTCTTGTCCAACATTATCAGCAATTTCCGAGACTCTATTTCCAACAAATGTGCTCCAGTGACAAGGAGGCTTTTTTAACCATGCTAAGACGATGGTAGAATCGGTCCAAAATTGTGTCGAATATTTTGATATTTGTAGACTATTTACAATGAATTTTGCTAATTTTGAAAGTAATACTGCCCCGCATAACTCGAGTCTGGGTATTGATAATTTTTTAATTGGAGCGACACGAGTCTTTGCTGCTAGCAAGAATGTATGTGTGGTATGGTCAGTATTTTCCACCCGAATATAAAGAGTGGCTCCATATGCGCTTTCTGATGCGTCACAAAATCCATGAATCTCTACAGAACCATCTAGCGTGTATTGAATCCATCGAGGAACTCTGAGATATTCAATATCTTTGCTATTTTTGACAAAATTGTTCCAGTTCATTTGTGTTATTGGCTTTAATTGATCATCCCAGTCAATTTTGTCTAGCCAGATTTGTTGCATTATTAACTTAGCTACGACAACTACCGGTGCCAGCCATCCACATGGGTCAAACAATTTGGCTATCGTTGATAAAACTTCTCTTTTTGAAGAAATATTTTTATTTTCCATTGTGGGTGGTGTAAACGAAAAATAATCGCCTGAGATATTCCATCGAATTCCAAGGGTCTTAGTTGAAGCATCTTCGGAAAAGTCTAGCCAATTGAGTGGTAGCAAATGTTCATGTGGAATATCTTGTATTATTTTGCGATCATTTGATGCCCATTTCATTAGTGTAAAACCGGCAGAGTCTAAAGCAGCAGTTAATTCTTTTCGAGCTTTTATTGATTCATCTTCAGTGTGACCGCCAGCTAATACATCATCAACATACAAATTATTCAAAATTATATTTGCGGCTCTAGGGTATGATTCTTTTACATCTTCTGCTAGTTTAAGAAGAGTTCTCAATGCTAAATATGGTGCGCAGTTAACTCCAAATGTAACTGTTAGCAGCTCATAATCTTCTACTGGGTTTTCCGGAGACTTTCTAAAGAGAATTCTTTGATATTTCGTTTGCTTTGAATCCAAAAGTATTTGGCGATACATCTTTGTTATATCTGCATTGAAGGCATATTTAAAAAATCTCCATTTTAGAATTTGTAGTACCAAATCTTGTTGTAAAATGGGTCCCGGAAACAATATGTCATTGAGACTTGTTTTGTTTGATGATGGGCAAGAAGCATTGAAGACGACTCTTAACTTTGTCGTGATTCGATCTGGCTTAATTACTGCATGATGTGGTAGATAATAATTTGGCATTTTATCTATTTCATTCGGATTGATTTTCCTCATATGACCAAGTTCTAAGTATTCTAGTATTGAGTCATCATATTGTTCTTTGATCTCTGGTGTTTTCATAAGTTTTTTCTCCATTCTGTAGAATTGAGCTAGGGCGATGTTTCTGGAATTCCCCAATTCCTCGCATTTTTTGAATGGGAGAGTCACCACATATCTTCCATCCTTATTCCGTATTGTTGTTTCAATGAAGTTTTGTTCACAAAATTGGTCTTCTTCTGACCGTAAAACTTTTTTAGGGGTCTCTTCCACCTCCCAAAAACGTGTAAGTACTTTCTCTATTGAAGTTGTATTTAGAAGTGATATTTGTTTTCGTTGAAGGATGCTTCCTGGTATGGGTCCTCCAACTATCCATCCAAATTTGGTTTTTTGTGTTAAAATTGATCCAAATGTTTTCATTGGAGTTCCAATTGTGAATATTAATGGTCCTATGTCCATTCCAATAAGTAAATCGATTGGTTGACTAACGTAAAATTTCGGGTCAGCCAGTTCTAATGCTGTTACATCTCGAAGTTGTGATTCATCTATGTTTTGTGGTGGTAGATTTGAAGGTAAGTTCTTTAAAACTGGAGCCCAGACTTCCAGTTTAAAGCTAGGGTCGTATTTGGATCTCATAGTAAACAAGCAAGATTTTGTTGAAGTCTCAGAAACAAATTGACTTAAGCCAGTGACATGAACTAAGTTATTCCGTGTAGGCAACTTCAAAAAGTTTTTCATCTTTTCCGAAATAAAGGTGGATTGTGATCCTGAGTCTATTAGAGCTCGGGCATCGTAAAGTTGTCCTTTGGTTTCAATTTGTACTATTGCTGTGAAGAGTAGTGTTCCTCCAGATTGTCGCTCACAAATTTGCTTATCTTGGAGGGTCAAAGTAGTAATAGTGGTTGGTTCTAGGTTTGTAGTGGACTGTATTTGATTTGTAAGAGCGGCAGCACTAGTACTAGGTCGTGCTTCCACTCGAGCTAGGTATGAGTTAGTTGTTTGGGTTTCCGTTCCCTTGTGTAACAAAGTGTTGTGTTTCATAGTACAAATACGGCAGCCAAAGCGACTTTTGCAATCCTTTACTCCGTGATTTGATGACAAGCAATTGTAGCATAAGTGTGATGTTTTCACGATGTGAATTCTGTCATTCACACTCTTTTTCAAAAATTCGCTGCAATCTCTTATGAAATGATTTGATTTGCAGACTTGACAAGTTTGAGTATTTTTCTGCTTATTTTGTTGAGGTAATATTACATTAGTAGGTCTTCCTCCAAAGTTGTTTGTATTTTTTGAGACATTTGTTTGAAATGTTTTCAAAAATCTAGGCGTGTGATTGTTAGTTGGTTTTTGTTGAGCGAATTTCGATGTAGAAGGCTTTATGTTACCAACTGATTCCAAAGTTTTGAATTTGTTTGTTAAGAAAGCGTCAAACTGTTCCCATTTTGGAATTTGTTTACAATCGCTTAATGAGTTCTCGAATTCTTCTAAAAAGCCTCTAGGTAATTTTGTTGAACAAATGTATATTAAAATCGGATCCCATCCTTTAACATCGACATCAAGTATCCCCAGTGTCTGAATGCTGCTATTTACCGTGCGTTGTAGTTTTTGAATAGAGTGACTTGATTCAGCAGAAACTCCAGGTAGATTGAAAAGTGTCTTGATTTCTTCATTAATTTGCATTCTTTTATTCTCGTAACGATCTGTGAGATTTTTCCATGCTAATGTAAATCCATCATTAGTTAGTGGGACATGTGAAATAATTTCCCTTGCTTCTCCTGCTGTCTTTTGCGTCAAATGGAATAATTTTTCGACATTACTTAATTTTGAGTTGTTTATGTAAATTGCCGAAAATAGATCTCTGAAAGTCGGCCATTCTCTATAACCACCTTTAAATGTGTCTGTATCGCATGGAGGTAGCCGCGATACGTTTGTGAAATCCACTTCCCTTCCTTGTTGTGACATCTCTGACTCTCTTTTCATTTTTTCCTGTGTCTTTTCATCCAAAAGATTTTGCATTTGTCCATTTATTGAACTCAGCGCTTTTTTGTACGATCCCATGGTATCCATATAGTGCTTCCTCAGTTTATTTTTATCGATCGGCTTTCCTTCCTCTTCTGGAACATAATCCCGACAGTCTATGTAGGCTCTCTTGACCTGGTCCCATGCAGAGTCCAACTCCATTCGTGTTGTTTCCAAAGTATGTACCGTGTCATCAGGTTTGGTTATTGAAAAAATTGAAATATAATCCAGAAGATCGTTGACGCAATTTGTGAATTTATCGCTTAATGTTTTATCCATTTTGAAAACTGAGCGTTAACCTTTACGAAATTTTGTTGTTTTACAAAAAAGAAAAGTTGCCCAATGAAAAGGACTAACTTGGTTTAGAATTTAAACTTTTATCCAAATTTTTATTTTTTAAAATGAGGATAAGTTTTTTTCTCAATATCTGTCGACGAAAACGATCCTATTTTATTGGTTTGAGTCAAATTATATTTCGTTCCTTTCAATAATTAATTTTTTTTTTTCCAAAAATTCAAAAATTTTCTTTATATTTGACGCCGGACTGACTTGATTACAAATGTTTGCTGGGTTGCCAGAAGGGTCAAATTTTCGCCAAAATGAGCAAAAAGGAAAATAAAATCTCTTAAAGTCCACTTACAGGAGGATTTTATTTTTGCAATTCGACAAATAATCAAAAGTTTTTAAAACAAAAGTGTTTAAACGAGAATTGCAAAGCAGAAATTACCAGAGATGTTTTGCGCAGTAAACAATTTCTTCCAAAAAAAAAACGAGAGTCTAATTTGATTGTCCACGAGAAGTTGAAAATTCCAAAAAATTTCAGAGAGTCCAAAAAAATTTCAACGAAGTAAAAATGTGTGTTGGGTTGTCAAAAAAAAATTTAATTTTTTGTTAAAATCACTTAATATCCTATGACAGGAGGATTTTATTTTTAAAAAGCCAATAACTTTGATTATTGCTTGTGAAAATTTGTCTGATTCAACAAATTTTCTAAATTCGCCAAATTTTTTGATAAAATTCGCAACGAGAATTAGAGAAAATTATGTATGTATAAATCCAAATATTTCAGCAGAAATATTTCAAACAAATAATTTGGGTCAAAAAATCCAAAAATTTGAGCAAAAATTTCCAAAAAATTGATTTGGGTCAAGGTCCAAATATTTCAGCAGAAAATTTTATGTCCCAGCAGAATATTGCAAAAGAAAATAATTTGGGTCAAAATCCAAATATTTTCAGCAAAAAATTCAAGAAAGTGTAAAAAATGTCAATGAAGAAATTTTTCCCAAAAAGTTGTCGTGTTATGTGTCACAAAATCAAAAAAAGTATACCAGCAAAATATTTCTGCGAAAAATGCAAGAAATTAATTTTGGGTCACAGAAAAATTTTTAAGCTCCTTTGAGCAATAGATATTGTGCTAAATGGGAAGAAAGGTTAAAATTAGAATAAAAATAAAAATTGTAAATATATGGGATCGATTTTATGTCTGTCCACCAGACTCCGATATAAAATTTGTTCTCCAAAATTTCAAAAAAATTTGTAGTTTAAGTTTCAAATGTATGTCTGTCCACCAGACGCTTGCTTGTTTGCCAATTTTTTTTCTCCAAAAATTTCAAAAAATTGGTAGTTTAATTTTCAAATGTATGTCTGTCCACCAGACGCTTGCAAAAATTTCAAAAAAATTTAGGTTATTTTTTGTCTGTCCACCAGACGCTATTTTTTAAACGGGTTTTGTTTACTCGTTTATGTATTCCGGTGACGCCAAATTTTTCCAAAAAATATGGCGACTATATATTGCAAGTGACGCTTTTTTTCCAAAAAATTGTATATAGTTTTTGCAATATGGCGTTTATATGTTTGCCAAGTTCAGTGACGCCAACTTTCCAAAGTTATGTGTTTGTGTCAATATGGCGCTTATGTATTCGCCTGAACTCCACGTTCAGAAAATTCCAAAATTTTTAGTATATATATATTTGTATATGGCTGAAAATTCCCGTTTTTTCAGAAAAGAATATGTCTGCCTGCTTTTTCCCGGGTCAAAAGCCAAATGTCCGTCCAGAAAAATGGCTCAAAATGTGTCTGTCTGTGGGCAACTAGCAGCTTTGAATATGGGTCAAAGTGTTATTGCAAATTATGGGAATATGCGGGTCAATGCAAATATTGAAGATTTGCCTGCTCCCGAAATGCCCTTTTGTGTCAAAAAAGAAAATTTCACGAGTACTCACTTTGATCTTGGGTTTTGGGTCTCCTTTGTTGTACCTTGGTTGTTGTTGTTGTGCTGCGTGTGTCCGTCCGCTTCTCCTTTACTGCTGTTTCCACAATTTTCGGGTTTGTTGCTCTTTGTGTCACGGTATATTGTCTCTTGTGTATCAACTGTGTATTGTCTTTTTATTGTATAAAAACTTTTTCAACTTTTTATTAATTTTTTAGATTTTATATTTTTTAAAATTGAAGAAAAAATTTAATTTTTCTAAAATTTTAAAAAATTTTATTTTTTTTGTAGCACTGTGTAACTTAACTTTTTGTTGCACTGTGTACTGTCTATTTTTTGTAAATTTTTTCAATTTTTTTCCAAAGTTTTTTTTTTTTTTTTTTCAACACTTTTTTAACTTTGCACTTATTTTTTAACCCCACTGTATTTTTTTCTATTTCACTTTCTTTTTTCTCACTGTTCTTTTGTTTGTCCGTCCACTCACAAATTGTTCTTTTTTTTTTTTTTTTTTTTTTTTTTTTTTTTTTTAATAACTTAAAAAACTTTCACTTTTTGATCCGGCTCTGGAGGACCAAATGTTTTTAGGCTTACCTTTTTTGCCTGTTTAAATTATAAGAGATATATTTTTTTGTTTCAGTTTTAGTTCAGTCTTTTATTTAGATTTTTGGGGTAGTGCAATTTAGTTTAAGTAGTATTATTATGGATAATTTATATTTGGGTTTTAATTCACAAAGTTTTATTTTAATAGATGTTAAGTTTTAAATTAAATAGTTTTAATTCATTAGTTTATAAGTTTTAGCACATAAGTTATATAGTTTCACAATTTATTTTTCACTTTTTAATATTAACAATGTTCTTGGTTTTTTTGTAGTGTTGATTAAATGTTCACTGTTTTTTTTGTAAAATTACAAGATTATTAGGTTTTGTTCACTAACACTTGTCACACGGGGGGGAACTTGTTTTCGCGACGGTAATTACATGAGAACTGATTATTGCCAAATTTGCATCGTCACATCAAACCTGTTTTGGCTGTTGACGATGCTTAGTTATTAGAATTCAGCATTGGAATTTACCGGTGGCTGCATAAATGTATGTGTGTATATGTATGTATTTACATTATTTACATCATTTTGTTATGATGCCATTTATGCGGCCGCCGGTAAATGCCCAACCAACAGTGTTGGGCAAATTAATAGCAATATTATGAACAGTATGCTTTATATTTTATACATTTAAGTTTAAAATTTCAAACAGCTTTGGCAAACATTTTTACTGCAAAATTAAATAAAAGTAGGATTTACAAAAAAATCCCTATGTGCCCCAAAGAAAAGTAAATAAAAATTATATACAAAACAACAAACAAAAAAAAAATAATTTTGAGTCAGTACACACAAAAAAAAAACGCAGCACTTCATACTTAAGCAAAAAAGAAAAAAAGTCAATTTCAAACATCCAAATAATAATAATGCCAGGCGGGCTCTATCACAGACAGTATAGGTATGAAACGTAGATGGTCTGACTGACAAATGTCAGGCCATCATTCAGTCATAGACACACCAAGCCGACACACACACACTCGCATACACTCACGACACTCAGGATATTGCACAATCATACAGACATTTGACAGATGATGGCTGAGAATGTAATGGCATTTAAATGTGTGGAAAGTCATTTAGTATTTTCTATTATTTGTATGGCCAAACAATCCAATATACAAACTGACGAAACAAACAAATGTATATACAAAAATGTGTCAATGTTTGTGTGGATATATAGATGTGCACAAACAAATAAATGAGAAAAACTTTGGTATTTTTCGTAACTTAAAACGAGGGCTGGATTACAATGTCAGATTTTATTTAGCCAACGATTTGGCTGGCCATTTTCAATTTTAATATTGAAGCCTTAGAGTTGACATTTTGGGGATTTATATGTTTGATATATGACATGCTGGACAATTGATGGCTAATTGTGTGTTATAGAATTTTTTGTTTGTTGAAAAGAAATACAAAAATCTATAATAAGCCTAGCAATTTGAATTTAAAGAAAATTGTGTAACTAACCCTAAAAATAGGCAACATAATTTGAGAGTGATTGATATTCAATTTCTTGCAATAATTATTTTGACTAACCCTCCTCATTTTAATAATATACCCATTGAAGGTATATATTGATTGGAACGTTTGAATATTGGCTTGGTGGTGCATACTTCTAGGTAGCCCATACCTTTTATATTCCATAACAATTTTATCTCTATTTTTTTGCAATTGTTTATTTTTAAAGACAATGATTAGCAAATATTTATCAAAAAAAAAAATAAAAATAAAATAAAATGTGTGTATGTCTCCCATTCGAATAACTACTATCATTGCCAATAGTGAGGAAAAATATTTTGTACAGGTTCTACCAAGTCCATTAGATCGTGCTTGTTTTATTAATGGACTATAAGACTATGATTTAAACGACTATCGAATGCAAATTTTCTTAAGAATAGTTATCGAAGACTATCGAGGTCGAAAAAATCGGATTTTAAAGAATTTTTTTTAAGGACTACCATGTTCTTCACATCCATGGATAAGCATTTTTTTTCAAATTCTGTATTAAAATAACATTTTTTAAGGACAATTAAGTCCATAAGCAAGGATATTTTAACCTTTAACTTTTGAGGTGACCCATATTATTGCCCTCTAAATTTTACAAAAAAAAAAAAAAAAAAAAAAAAAAATCGGTTAAAAATAGTTTTTGTAAATTATTTGTTTAATAAGTACAGACTGAGATAGAAAACAGCAACAAAGTCAAAAGCCATAATTTTTACATTTTTCTCTTTGAAATTTTATTGAATGATACCAAAATATGTCGGATATAGCATCAAATCCTAGAATAAGTTTAGAATTGGTCACATTTGGCACGAATTATGGCCTTCAAACGGCCAACAAACCCTTCACACGCTGCCCAAATGTTGCTCTGCTGTATTTTGGCCCGGCGAAGCGCTTGATTGAAGTGATCGACATTTTTGTGTCTTTTTTTAGTGCCAAACTTGCTTTCGAAAATACTCCAGACACAATAGTCCAACGGATTGGTATCCGGAGATTTTGGTAGCCATTGTGCACTGGAAATGAAGCGAGGAACATCATTTTGTAACCATTTTTGGGTGGCGCGTGCTGAGTGCGAGTCCTGTTGTGCTGAGTCCTGTTGAAATGTCCAAAGTCTGCGGCCAAAATGTTTGCGTGCCCAAGACTTTAGTACACCCTCTAGAATATTTTCGCGATAATATTCGGCATTTATTCTAATGTCAGGGTCGATTAATACGAGCGAAGAGCGACATTCGGCTGTTAAGGCGGGCCACAACATCGCTTGAGTTCTGGTGGCCAACCGAAGCTGCACATTTTCAGCTGAACTTTTTGGCCTGTAAGACCGATCATTTTGTTTGTTTGCAAACTGCTGGACAACGAAGGTTTTCTCATCGGACAAAACCAAATTCGGCAGTTCACCACTTTCGGCCAAACGAAGCTACTCTTTAGCTCTTTTGAGTCTATTTTCTTTCTATTGCGGTGTAAGTACTTGCACTTTTTGGAACTTCAATGGCTTTACCCCGAGCTCATTTTTCAATATTTGCCGAATGGAATGGAATATTGCGATATGTTCAACTCACGAGCCATTTTTCGACCACTGCAACGAGGGTTTCGATCAAGTCCCTTCAGTACGTTTCGAACCATTTCTGCTAATGTTGCTGTTTTACTGTCGTCCACTTCCTTGACGTCGGCCTATGCTACCAGTATCACGGCAACGAGCGATGGTACGAGACACGAACGATTTATTCACATTTAAATGCAGGAGAGCTCTAACGATAGCCACTTGTCGTTTTCCAGCCAAATATAAAGAAATCACACTGTCACGTTTGAATTCCATCACGAATAACTTTTTTTCGGGAAAATTCTCACCAAAATGCTTTTGTACACTTGTAAACAATATCATGAGCTGTAATTGGAATAATTTTAAAAGCAGTCGGACAAGTGGCTTAGAAATGACCGCTGTCTGAAGTTTGTTGCAGTTTTTTCATCTCACCCTGTAGTCTTTTCAATGTATTTTTGCTATTATATACTATTCTATACTTATTATATAAATGCGTTAATTGACAATGTACCTCAGATCATTTTTATATGCTGAAAATTGTTAAACACGCCTGTAAGTATGCTACAGAAATGCCAATAATAAATGTGAACACAGTCCCCTACATGTGACTCTAACATAAAACGTAAGTTAGTCTTATATTATCCTTTTCTGACACATTTTTGTGTTAAAAAACTGAAGACTCCATAAATTTGAATTGAATTGAATTATAAGTTGGTGCATACTTTTAGGTGTCTTCTATAGTAAGACGTCTATACTTCTTTCTCATATATTTTTTTTACCGATTTTATAAGCCGAATATTAAAAATGATGGAACCAAAGTAATCAGTAACACTTTGTGGACTATTGAGTTATTAGTGCATTCTTTTAGGAGCTCCATAGCAAAAATTTTCTTTAATAATTTATACTCTTTATTTTCTATTTAAAAATAGATTTTCATTATTTTTTTCTTTTCCTGCACCAACCTCCTTCTTCGGTGTGTTACATGAACCCTAAGTTGTTTGAACTCTCATAGCTTGCTTCCACTGTCGGCTACTACACAACTCCTGCTGCGTTTTATATTTATACATTTTTTCTGCCTTTTGGCTATGATCTCATCATTGGTGCGAAATAATAATAATAATAATAATAAAAACGTAATATGAGTATGCATAACTTTAAAAATGAAAACCACCATGGAAATTGCATTTCACTCATTTTATTCTATACATAAACGTCGGACTGACAGACAGACTGCCTGACTGACTGACTGTTTATACATAAATTTCATTCTTTTTTGTTGCGGATTTTGTTGTTGTACTGCAATTTAATACACCATAGATTATTGTTGCATATGTTGAGGCGTGGTGGATGGAAATGATGATGAAGATGATGATTGCAATCATAATGACGATGTTAGAACAGTTGAATATTTGTAATATAATTTGCATACTTTTAGGAGACAATTTAGGGCTTTGCAAACAAACAACCAGTTTTACATGTCGTGCAGGAGAATTCAGTTTTTTTGTTTCTTTCTCGCTTTGTTGGTATTTTCAATTTATTTAATTGTTGTTTTTTTATTTATTTGTTATTTATTAATTAAAATACAGTTAGCAAATAAACAACATAGATTTCATAGCGAGATAGGGAAATTACCAAAATGGATGTGGACAGATTTTTTTATTCTTGGTAACAAAATGTTGTTTTTTATTTGTAGCCCATATAAAGCAATCGAATTTGTATCTAAAATCATGCTATTTTGCAAATGTTTTTTTTTTTTAATTTTGCATATATTTTTTCAAAATACCTTTATATGGGCTTGTTTTCTATTTCTTCCTTGGTATTGGCTCTATTATTTATGTTAATCCATTAAAGACCATTTTAATTTGGCCATTTTATGGTTTCTTTTTTAACCACCTACCATTTGTTTGGCATGGCAACGGGGGTAACATTTTATGACTCATTTGGATAAAATGAAACCGAGTCAAAATAAATATGTTTGACTCCCCCAGTTGCTTTTTTTTCGTCATGACACGAAAACATACATTCACACACATAGATGTGATAGATTGTTTTATCAATTAAATTTTCTTTGTAATATCGTGTGTGTGTGCTCTTTCTTTTTTTAATAATAAAAGCCAATTTTTATTGCAACAATTGCTTTGTAACACTATGATTTTTTGGCATATTACTTAATACGTTTATTATTATTTTTTTTGTTCCCATGTTTGGTTGTTGTTGTCTTTTTTCCTTTTGTTGTGGTGCCACTCTTGCTACTCATTTCTTTATAATTATTGTAGCTCCACTTTCATAAAATGCCATTAACATGCAATATTGCATGTTGCAGAGCTACAAAAAAATCAGGCAGCATAGCTGCTACCTTTTTCTTTTGGCCATTCCATGATGTATTTTTTGCCTTTTTGGGGTGTTGAGCATTTTTTTATTTTTCTTTTATATCGGCCATAAACTGAAAATTGGCATTAAT